GTCTCTGACGTTCTGTCTCTGTCTCTGACGTTCTGTCTCTGACGTCCTGTCTCTGTCTCTGACGCTCTGTCTCTGACGTTCTGTCTCTGACGTTCTGTCTCTGTCTCTGACGTTCTGTCTCTGACGCTCTGTCTCTGACGTTCTGTCTCTGATCTCTGACGTTCTGTCTCTGACGTTCTGTCTCTGATCTCTGACGTTCTGTCTCTGACGTTCTGTCTCTGTCTCTGACGTTCTGTCTCTGATCTTTGACGTTCTGTCTCTGTCTCTGACGCTCTGTCTCTGACGTTCTGTCTCTGACGTTCTGTCTCTGATCTCTGACGTTCTGTCTCTGACGTCCTGTCTCTGTCTCTGACGTTCTGTCTCTGACGCTCTGTCTCTGACGTCCTGTCACTGTCTCTGACGTTCTGTCTCTGTCTCTGACGTTCTGTCTCTGACGTTCTGTCTCTGACGTTCTGTCTCTGTCTCTGACGCTCTGTCTCTGACGTTCTGTCTCTGACGCTCTGTCTCTGACGTTCTGTCTCTGTCTCTGACGTTCTGTCTCTGACGTTCTGTCTCTGACGTTCTGTCTCTGACGTTCTGTCTCTGTCTCTGACGTTCTGTCTCTGACGTTCTGTCTCTGACGTTCTGTCTCTAATCTCTGATCTCTGACGTTCTGTCTCTGACGTTCTGTCTCTGACGTTCTGTCTCTGACGTTCTGTCTCTGTCTCTGACGCTCTGTCTCTGACGTTCTGTCTCTGATCTCTGACGCTCTGTCTCTGACGTTCTGTCTCTGTCTCTGACGCTCTGTCTCTGACGTTCTGTCTCTGACGTTCTGTCTCTGACGTTCTGTCTCTGTCTCTGACGCTCTGTCTCTGACGTTCTGTCTCTGATCTCTGACGTTCTGTCTCTGACGTTCTGTCTCTGATCTCTGACGTTCTGTCTCTGATCTCTGACGCTCTGTCTCTGATCTCTGAGGCTCTGTCTCTGACGTTCTGTCTCTGTCTCTGACGTTCTGTCTCTGATCTTTGACGTTCTGTCTCTGTCTCTGACGCTCTGTCTCTGACGTTCTGTCTCTGTCTCTGACGCTCTGTCTCTGACGTTCTGTCTCTGACGTTCTGTCTCTGATCTCTGACGTTCTGTCTCTGACGTCCTGTCTCTGTCTCTGACGCTCTGTCTCTGATCTCTGACGTTCTGTCTCTGACGTTCTGTCTCTGTCTCTGACGCTCTGTCTCTGATCTCTGACGTTCTGTCTCTGACGTCCTGTCTCTGTCTCTGACGTTCTGTCTCTGACGCTCTGTCTCTGACGTCCTGTCTCTGTCTCTGACGTTCTGTCTCTGTCTCTGACGTTCTGTCTCTGACGTTCTGTCTCTGACGTTCTGTCTCTGTCTCTGACGCTCTGTCTCTGACGTTCTGTCTCTGACGTTCTGTCTCTGTCTCTGACGTTCTGTCTCTGACGCTCTGTCTCTGACGTTCTGTCTCTGTCTCTGACGTTCTGTCTCTGACGTTCTGTCTCTGACGTTCTGTCTCTGTCTCTGACGTTCTGTCTCTGACGTTCTGTCTCTGACGTTCTGTCTCTGACTCTGACGTTCTGTCTCGTCTCTGACGTTCTGTCTCTGACGTTCTGTCTCTGACGTTCTGTCTCTGTCTCTGACGTTCTGTCTCTGACGTTCTGTCTCTGACGTTCTGTCTCTGTCTCTGACGTTCTGTCTCTGTCTCTGACGTTCTGTCTCTGACGTTCTGTCTCTGACGTTCTGTCTCTGTCTCTGACGTTCTGTCTCTGACGTTCTGTCTCTGACGTTCTGTCTCTGTCTCTGACGTTCTGTCTCTGTCTCTGACGTTCTGACTCTGACGTTCTGTCTCTGACTTTCTGTCTCTGACGTTCTGTCTCTGACGTTCTGTCTCTGACGTTCTGTCTCTGACGTTCTGTCTCTGACGTTCTGTCTCTGACGTTCTGTCTCCCTCTGCAGCGTTCTGTACGTCTCTCTCCATCGCTATGACAGCGGGACATTCTTCCCATTCTCGGAGGACGCCGCCGCCGACAGGGTGGGCGTGGCCAAGGGGGCGGGCTTTAACGTGAACGTAGCTTGGAGCGGCGGGCGAATGGGTGACTCCGATTACCTGGCAGCATTTCATCATGTTGTCATGCCGATCGCGGCCGAGGTAATCAATCACAGAACCATTGGTTATTGGTTGATCAATAACTTTTACTGTTACATATAACAGAAACTATTTGAAGACCTCTGATTGGCCGCCTTCTTGCGGCGTTCTCATTGGGCCGTTTCTCCTCTGCAGTTTAACCCCGGACTGGTTCTGGTGTCGGCCGGGTTCGACGCGGCCCGGGGAGATCCGCTGGGCGGATACCAGGTGACTCCTGAGGGATACGCCCACCTCACGCACCTGCTGATGTCACTGGCTGGGGGGCGTGTCCTCATCATCCTAGAGGTATGGGCTGATGCTCCTCTGCTCCTGATTGGCTGATGCTCCTCTGCTCCTGATTGGCCGGCTTTCTTTGCAGGGCGGTTACAACCTGACGTCCATCTCTGACTCCATGGCGATGTGCACCAGCGTGTTGCTAGGAGACGCTCCCCCATCCCTAACCACACCCTTCCCCCCCCATCCCTGCGCCGTGGCAACCATCAGGGAAGTCATCCGACAACACGCCCCCTACTGGCGCTCCTTGAGGATTACTGGTGAGTTTGGGTCCTGGACCGGTTCTGTATCCGGTTCTGAATCCGGTTCTGAATCCGGTTCTGAATCCGATTCTGTATCCGGTTCTTAATCCGGTTCTGTATCCGGTTCTGAATCCGGTTCTGTATCCGGTTCTGAATCCGGTTCTGAATCCGGTTCTGAATCCGGTTCTGTATCCGGTTCTGTATCCGGTTCTGTATCCGGTTTTGTATCCGGTTGTGAATCCGGTTCTGAATCCGGTTCCAGTTCCGTATCCGCATCCTAATCTGGTTCTGTCTGACTCGGTTCTTTTCAGTTCCGGAGTCGGTGCAGTTGGCCCTCCCCGCCCCAAAGCATCGTGGGAAACGTAGTTCTCTAGGCAGGAAGTCAGACAAACGGCCGCCCCCTGCTGGACAGGAGGGTGCTACGGTAACACCCAGATTGAAAAAGGATTTTCCTCTGAATTGCATAAAGTCACATGACTTCTTTTGTCCAATCAGATGCAGGGTGTGGAGCAGCTGACTCAGGGATTGGCCAGTCTTGATATCACTCAAGCCCCGCCCTCCCCACAGGAACCGCCCACAATGGAGGTCAAAGGTGATGTGGAGTCTGAGTTGGAGAACAGCCAATCAGCAGAGAGCATGCAGACTCAGGTGAGTCTCTTAGATACGCCACTCGCTGACCTCTACTTTCAAATCTGACCACTTCCTGTTTCCTGTCAGAGTGTTACCACGGCAGCAGCAGAGTCAGACCGTAAAGAAGGAGCGGGGTCAGGCGAAGGGGCGGAACTTACGTCAGAAGGAACCTGTGGTTGGTCGACGCCTCAGGTGTCTCTGGAGCTGACGTGCAGCACTGAGATGGGCGGAGTCAGTAGCTATTAGCTCACCTGCTAACCGCACCCTTAATGAGTGCCCAGGTGTGACGTCTAACCTGTCCCTCCTTCCCCAGGACGCTCTGTACGTGGTGGACCCTCTGCCCTGGTGTCCTCACCTGGATGCTGTTAAGCCCCTCCCTCCCTCGGGAGTTGATGTCTTCCAGCCTTGCGGCGACTGCGGTTCTGACGCCGAGAACTGGATCTGCCTCACCTGCTATCAGGTGAGGCTCTGCCCCACTCCCCATCTCCAGGATGTGGTCCCTGTCTCACCTGTCCCCTCCCCTCCTCCAGGTGTGCTGCGGTCGCTACGTTAACGAGCACATGGTGACGCACGGCGCCGTGTCAGAGCACCCCGTGGTGCTCAGCTTCTCTGATTTGTCCGTTTGGTGCTACCTGTGTGAGTCCTACGTCCACCACCAGGTGAGGCGGCTCAAGGTCGGGTGCGGTCCGGTTCCGACGGGTTGGCGGTACCGCTCATGTTCTCCTTGCTCTGCTCAGGTTCTGTTCGAGGCCAAGAACGCTGCTCACTTCGCCAAGTTTGGAGAGGAAGTTCCTCCCTGGAGCTGAGCTGGCTGGTCGCCATGGAAACGGCTCCACTTTTATCGTTTTAGTGCAAATCACTTCCTGATCAAAACACGCTTTTATTCTGAAACTCCTGCCAACAGTTGATTTTCGAAGGAACACTTCCTGTAAGAATTCTGACTTCCTGTAACGTCAATAATCTTGCTGTGATGTGATTGGTTGGATTGGGAGATGATGTCACTCTCTAAACACAACCCGGTTCTGATCCAGTTCTGATCTGGTTCAGAACTGGGTCAGAACCGACTCGTTAATAATCAATATTTGAGGTAAAAAAAAATTCCATTTGTTTTATTGACAATAAAAAAATATTTTTTTCTGATTTTCAGTTTTTAAATTTTTTGCTGTCTGCTTCAGGGTATGGCAAGCGGTTTTAACATAAAATCAGTTTTATGTTAAAAATCCTTCATTTTGATCATCCTGATTGATTATTACTGATCAAAATGGCGTCTGGATTCGGCTGCTGCAGCTTCTCTTCCATAAATACAGAATCATTTGTTCATAATGTTTTTCTGACTTTATTTACCTGGATGAAGAAAAGAGACGAGGAGAATTTTATGTTCATTGAACAAAATGTTTTGCTGTAAAATAAAACAAGATAAAAACTATTTTTATTTATTTTTAATAGAAATTCCTAAATGCTCTGTAAATCTGGGACATATTTAATCAGATTTCTGTTTCTGGATGAAAATCTGCCAGATTGGGGCAGATTATCTTCTGTTACCATGGTGATGAACCCAGAGCCTGTTTCCATAGTGACAGTCTGGAGCATCCGGGAACTTTGCCTCCTCCTTCATCACCATTTTCCTCCTCTTCGTCAGACCGCAGTCCGCCGCGGCTCCAGCTAAGGTTCGGTTCGGTTCGGTTCTCTTCGTGTTTCCAGTCGGCTGACCTTTGAAGCGTGAACGCGCCTCGGCTCGTGCATGTGTCGGTAAATCTGACAGGCTGTCGGCGCTTTGATGTCTGTGGCTCCGGAACCTTTGATCTTTTGTTTGTTTCCTCTTTCATGTTGCGGGATTTTGCTGCGCTCTGATTGGCTGCTGACTCATCAGTCACGTTGCGATTATTGATCATTGATGTTCAGCAGGTGGATGGATGCGCTTCTCTGATTGGCTCATTCTTTCAGTCAGGAAGCAGAACATTAATCGGTGAGTCCTTCAGAACCGGTTCTGGTTGAGCTCGGATCTGTACTGGAAACTGTTCGGACCTGGTTCTGGTTCTGGATCTGGGGAGCTGAAGAATCAGAACCAACTGCAGCAAGTTGGGAATATCAGCAGAGGAACCGGTTCTGATCCGGTGCGGCTCCAGAGGCTGCTGTTTGCTGGTTCCGGTCGGGTTCTCCAGAACCTCCAGAAGGATGTCGGTGTCTCCGGGCCTCGCCGACCTTTCCCGCCTCTACCAGACCGAGTTCGTGCGCAGCGCGCGCGCCGTGGGCGTGCTGTGGGCCGTGTGCACGCTCTGCTTCGCCATCATCCAGGTGGTCATCCTGGTCCAGCCGTCCTGGGTCGGAACCACGGCCTCCGGGCCGCCGCGGCCCAGCGGGACCATGGGCCTGTTTGAGGTGAGGAGGCTGAACAATCAGAACCTGATTTAACGGTGAGGTGATCAGCCAATCAGACGGCAGCGTCCTGCAGCCTGAACGTCATTTTGCTGCTTGGTTCCTGTTGGTAGGTGTCACCACAAGGGGGCGCCTCTTTCTGTTGTAATCCTGCAGCGAGTAAGAACTTGTGATGCTGAGGTGCAACTTTTTGTAACTTTTCTCATGAAGGAGGAGATGATGTCAGTTCAGTGGAGATCTGACTTTACCTGAACGAAGTGACATAATGTGAAAGTGGAACTGCTGGGTTTCATATGACGTAGCACCGAGTCACCCAATCAGGTGGAGGGCAGGAAGTCAACGCAGCCTATTTCTTCTGTTGATCCAGCATCAAGATGTCTAAAGTCTGTCCTGTACGGTTGTTCCTGCCGTTCTAATGGACAGAAAGATAAACGTTATTCCTGCGTGTCGAAGGTCGTCGGTCACACGGAGCTAATTTTAAAAAACTTCTGAGAAAAGTGGATCAACAGTCTGCAGCTAAAAAACAGGAGGTGCAGAAACAACAGCGCCGCTTTCTGTCAGGCAGTGGTTCACTGTTTCCATTGTATGTTCAGATATTTTATTGTACAGTTAATGATGGAAGATTTTATTTTTACGCCCCAGCGTGGCGGCCCCCAGAGTGCTAATGTTGTTAGCAGCTAGCTCAGTGCCGAGTCACGAACAGAAAATGTATTTATTCTTTCATGGTAGAAAAAAGCTGAATAAATTCAATATAAGCGAGAGACAGTGAGCTGTTGGTGTCCAGACATGAACATGGCGCTGCTAGTAGTTGACCCACATTGGACCTGAATCCTCCAACGACTCAACACCAACTACAACTCCAGCATGAACTGGGTTCACTGGGAACTGGGTTTACTGGGAACTGGGTTTACTGGGAACTGGGTTCACAGAAGCTGAACAAATGATTGACCAGGAGATCCAGGCTCAGAGAAACAACCTGTTAGCTTCTCGTTAGCGGTAGCATTGCCTGTCTGGTCCAGCCTTGTTAGCTTCTGTTGTGATCAATTTTGCTCTGATTTGATCCAGAGAAATCCACTTCCTCACCGCCATCTGAATGTCGCGCGTCATCAGGGTCACGTGTCTGAAACCCGGCAATGCTTCAACAGTCCGTCTGCTGATTCGGGTTGGAGTGGCTAACCACCGCTGATACAGTCAAAGCTAACTATTTAGCTTCAGCTCAATATTTAGCGACACACACCAGCATCACTGGTGACCCCACTGATGACCCCACTGTGGGGTCAGCTAATGGATAGATGGATAAATGTTTAGGGGTAACACTTTGACAGGTTGTGAATAAGACTGACATAACACCGTCATAAACATAAACAGCATGAACATGGGTCTTCATGAATAGTTATGACTGTTGTCAAAGTATCATTCAGTAAATCTTTACACTTTTAATACAAAGTTGACATTATTCTAAATGTCTTTATGACAACTTGACATTAACCAGAAATCATCATGTCATAAATATGTCATAATAGTAATGTCACTAAGTTATTGCACTGTCAAAACATTAACAAAACAGTAATTATTTCTTCCTACCTGAAATAAAGCAGAACACGAAGCACCAGGTATGATGATGTCATTGAGTGTCATTAATCTTGTTTCTCACCTACATAATTTTTGAAGTTTAATCAGAAATATTTTCACAACAAATTTATGACAGATCATGATTTCTTGGTTAATATCGAGACATTTAGAATAAAGTCAACTTGTATTAAAAGTGTCAACAGACTGTCAAATAAAGTGCTGTTCACTTTGCAGCTGCTGAGTTTCCTAAATGAATATTTAGTATTTAGTTTGCCAAACATTTACATGAAGCGAGACGAGCTAACTAGTTTGAAGCTAGTTATCTTCCTCCATCTTCAGCTGGATGGATGAATTGAAGGAGGAATTTGTCCTGGACGCCAGAAACAAAACTGCTTCCACAACCAATTCCTCCACAATCAGTAAAAGTCGTGTGAACAAATAAACACCAATCAGCAGCGTCACTAAACTGCTGACATCATTTATCAATCTGAACGTTTCATTGTGTGAAGGCTGTTGCTTCAGTTTGTCTGCCGTCTGGGTCCAGGTCTGCCTGGAGTCGGACTGGCCGGTCCCGGACTGCCGCGGCGGCCTGTCCAGCCTGTCTCCGCTGCCGTCCTTCCAGTCAGTGGCCGTGTTGGTGGGCGTGTCTCTGTGGGCAGTGTGGACCAGCGTCCTCTGTCTCTGTCTCTTCCGATTCTGCAGCGCTGCCACCGTCTACAAGATCTGTGCCTGGCTGCAGCTGACAGCAGGTCAGGCCCGGTTCTGCTGGTCCTCCCGGGTCCAATAATGGCAGAAAATCACAGTTCTGGTTCTGACCCGCTTTCTGAGAGAGAGACATTAGGGGCAGGGTTCCATCAAGTCCCATTTTGACAGGTCCCTTTGACCTAATTCCCCCCCCCCCCTCCCTCCCCCCCTCCCTCCCCCCCCCTCCCCCCTCCTCCCCCCCCCCTCCCCTCCCTCCCCCCCCCCCCCCCCTCCCTCCCCCCTCCTCCTCCTCCTCCTCCTATTGATTTTATCTTTTTAAAGAGTAATACCAATACAACAACAGTTATTTAATCAAGAAAAATGTATATAATTATATACTATGTCTACTGAAGTTTTAAATAGATTTGGAATGGAGATGTTGCTTCTGATTCTGCGACTGGCGTACAACTGTGGTCTGAGCTGTGGGGGGTTGATCAAATATAGGGTACGGCCTGTGAAATCCATATGGTCTGTGTGTTAGGTTTTTTTTTCTGTTTTCTCTCTGCTGAATTCAGAAAATGTCGTATATCTGACTTTCTTTTAAGAGTAATACAGCACCCAACAACAATTATTTAACCAAGTAAAAAAAATGTATATAATTATGTAGTGAAGTTGAAATAGATTTGGAATGGAGATGTTGCTTCTGATTCTGTGTCTGTATTCAGCCAGGCATAGAACTGGAGGTCCGAGCTGCGATACGCAGAGGCTTGCAAGTAGGTGCGAACTTTGCAGGATGCAGACAGAATGACAAATTAGCCACCTCGGGGGAATTCAGAGCAAGACCCTCACGAACCCCGCTGGTTCATGAGGGGGGCAAACCAGAGCGACATCTGGTTTTTTTTTTTTTTTTTTTTTTTTTTCTCAGTTTATCGCTCTTTGTCTAAAGAGTAATTACCTTCAGTTATCTGTGAGCGACACACGCTTTAAACACATTTGAAACTCATAGATTTTTCTGTAACACTCACTAGTGTGATACATTTCAGTAAATGTTTCTCATTTGTACATGTACTTCTTAAGAATATGTGACTGTTTGTAAGCAGGCCAACGGGAGGTTATTCAAATTAGACTTTTAACTTTCCTTGGTTAAAGAATTTGTCCAGAATTTTCCAAAATTTATCCTCGCATCATTGTAAATGCTACTTTGGTTCAATTTTTTCCTGCCTGAATCAACACTGATCTTCCCAGAGCTTCATGCTTCTCCAAAATAGTAAACGCCGTATAAACACATTTGAAACTCATACATTTTCTCTGTAACACTCGCTAGTGTGAAACATGTCAGTAAAAGTTTCTCATTTGTAAATTTATTTCTTAAGAATATGTGACACTTATTAAAAACAGACCTTACTGAGACTACTCATATTTAAGTTTTAGCTTTCCCTAGAGTTGAAAGTTTTTTTTTCTCTCTTCTTTCTTTATTTTTTTAACACTGCACAACTACGCTCCGACATGGTAAATTATTTTGTTACCTTTATCATTATCCACTACTTTGTCTCTAACTTATATGCTGTATGTTTTCTCAGCCCAAATGATGCTTTTTTCCTCCATCCATCATTTTACACACTTGAGTGTGTTCAGTAACAAAATATAGTTGTTGAATTTTCCATTACTGAAGCTTATAAATGATCAATGTAAACTTTCAGTCTGTATTCAGATACTGAATACAATTCCTATTATTTAGATTGGATGTTTTAATGCATGCACTTGGATTTCTATCGATTTATTGATAATAGTCTGCGTAAATATTTATCAAACTGAATGGCCATTCAGGTTTCATATAATTTTTTTAGTTTGGTTTTTGTTGCACAACTTCAAATATATGCTGGCTATCAACCAACCATTCAATCAGTGATTTTTTTTTCTTTTTTTTTAAATAACCCCTCTCACATCTTCTGACAACTAGCCCCAAGTTATAATAACATTAACTAAGTTTTGCTAATGGTGCACTTTACCTAAAAAAAATATTAAAAAAAATAAAACATACTCACTACACAGCCCCTTCTCCCAGAGCTGGTCACAACATGGTGATTGTTTTTTTTTTAACCGTTAAAATTATCTACAGCTTTTGTTCCTTGCTTCTCATGATGCTATCTGTTCACTAATGTTCACTAATGTTCACCTCTTGTAAATGATAAGCTTATTAACGAACAATATGAACCATCAGCATGCGTTAAAGAAGATCATATCTGTCAGATGAAGTAAAAATATCATGATACTCAAAGCAATCAAAAATATATTGATCTGAAAGGTAATTTCTCCTTTTCAGGGAGCTTAGACTGAATGAAAGGAATTATTGAAATATACGACAAAATATTTAATTTGCAGAATTCCGATAATAGAACTTCAACTATGAATTGAAAGATTACATTGTATTTATTAACTGAAGATCACTTAATAAATCAGCTGTTAATTAGTCATCATACTATGTAAATGACTAACAAAATTTGAACAAACAAGAAACTTGACTACCTCAAGGGATTTCTCACATTGGAGAATCAACTGTCTGATTTTCTTTAGCCCATTAAATTTAACCTTACCAAAGCTCTGCAGTAAAGCAAACAGGTACTTAGTTTGAAGCCTGAATCAGATGCCTTCAGACCTTCTGCTGAACCTGGACTTTGGCCGCTCTCGATGTGAAATAAAACATCAGACTTTTTTTTAAAAAAAAAAGTCCAAGTGAACATCACTTAATTATCATCAACTAGTTGTTTATACTCATCTTAAACCATTGGCAGGAATCTTTGGATAAAACACACAAACAATAAAAAAAAAAGCTTTATCAGTTAATCTATTTAAATTGAGTCCACGCAACAACAAAAATAAAATAAAAAGTGAACTATCTGAAAGTAGTGAGGATGTTGTGTGCTAAATGTTTAACGTTTTAACATGCCCAGCAGACACCACACCATTTCTGCTCAAGCAAACCACAAGGTTTTGAACAGGACAACTATGTCAAAAAAAAAAAAAAATGAGACCGTGTATCTTTATTGTATGTAGCAAATATATTGCTGCTGGTGCTGCTGCTGCTGTAGGTAGAAAATAAAAGAAGTTTTGCAGAGAATAATATTCTGGATGAGTTTTAAGAACAATCTTTGCCAAAATTACACAGTGTCACTACACTTGTATTTTATATGTTGCAGTAACTGAATCTTTTGAGGCAATTGGTTTGCATAAATTTAAGTAAATCCAACCTATTTTCCTGTTCTACATACTTAGCTAGCAATTTGCCAGTTAGCTTCCCAGTCTGAATTTCTGTGCAACGTCTTTATTCAGTCAACTCTTCTATCCTGTACTCCAATTCTATTCCTGAACTCTGATATTCTACATCCACTCTGTGAATGTTTTGCTTGCTTGCTTGTTGATCTTCAGCATGCTCTGAAGGCAGTATCGGGTTTCTCTTACTTTAACCGCCCAACTTGCACCTGATTGGCACTTTAGCCTTTTGATTCCCTCCCAGTGAGGCGGTGCTTCACAAAGCAAATTGATTGTCAATCTGTTGCTCTCTGCCTGGTGGTTGTTTCAAAGATGAGGAAACATGGTGACTGAGGTTTACAGCCAACTAGCCAGATTATGCAGCTTTTTTTACTAGATAGCGGTCCTAAAAACTACATACCTTTAAAATATGAACAAATACGTACAATTCCTTAATTATTTGATTCATGGGTGATACAAGTTTGGTCATTTGGAATGCAACTCAAGGACTGTGGTTTCTTAATGTAAGTATTTCTGCTACTGGACAAGAAACAAGGTTAAAAGATGACAGTTGTATTTACTGAGAGCAAGACTATGTCTAGTTATCAGGACAGACTGAGACCTGTAAAAAAAACTGTTGGATCCATATGACACAATTATGATCTTAATATGACAGAGGAGGGAACCGGTTATCTGCTCCAACAATGTATTAGCCTTCAAGGAAATCATTTTGGATGCAAAGAGCAGAAATATCTCAACATCAGATTATTATTATTGTTTTTACTCTTATATCAGTGATTTAAAACATTTTTTAAATTTTTGATACCATGCGGTGCCATGCAGTACCATGTGGTCGACCGCAAAGTTGTGCGTGAATGTAAAGTCAATTATTTTGTCACCCAAAGAAAATTGTAATGTGTTTATTATGAGTAGGATTAACCGAGCTGAAGGGAAAACAAAGAAAAAAGGAGAAATAAATATTCAGCGATACAGAATTGACTCAGCAAATATGAACCTAGGAAATTATTGAAACCTTCAAGAATTTTATGTGGCGTAAGATATTTAAGAAAAATAATCCTGATTCCATACTCATGAATTTCTTTATCTGGTTGTTATCTCTAAAATACGTTTTTATGTTGAACCCCAGACATCTCACCTCTTTCCCACAGTTTTTTTACACTTTGTTCCACTACTTATAGTCAATGTTTAAAAAAAAAAAAAAAAAAAAAAACCCAGTACAGAGTTTTGAAGCGATGGAGGAAATTTACGTCAATATGGAACCTGTTGAACAAAGTGCATCTCATCCCACAGGTAAGAACAAAGTTACAGAGAAATATAGTATGTATTTAATTTAATTACATTTTGCTAAGGCTCAGGTTTCTGCTCAGGTTTCTGTTAGGTTTCTGTTCAGGTTTCTGTTCAGGTAGCAGCAGCTCCAAAGAGAGGCTCTGCCTCGGTGTGGCCGTATCTTTGGGAATCCTGAACGTTTTCCTTTTGACCGAACTCATCGCCCTCAGTGTACACAGTGAGTCTTGTTATAGTCATCTTAAAGATGTAAAAATGAGTACATTTTATGTTTCTGTTATTAAAAAAAAAAATGTCATTGATTCCTTTCTGAAATCGAACTGATGAATTAGCAAGGTATAAAAAAGAATAAAGCTTGGTTACTCAAAGTGATGCAGAGAGCTGAACATTACGCGATGTTACATGAGTTTGAATTATTTTCAGCAATGCTTGCATTTGCAGCATTTAGGGTAGAATGTCTCCTCTTTCTTTTTTTTCAAACGATTTTCTGTTCAGCGTTACCTCAGTTTAA